TAGCTACATAATTTAAGTTTTAAAATTAATACTTAAAAAATTAATTTACCGTACAAATGTGTTTTTAAAATAATTTAAGTTTAAGATAATTTAGATAAAAATTAATTTTAAAATAGACAAAAAACTAGTGAAGACATTAAAAAAAAAAAAAAAAGACTAAAGGGTCAACTCAAGGTTAATTTCAACGGTTCGATAATTCTGTAACTACGTTAATTTGATAATATCATTGGACCAATTGCCTGATGCCATGTGGACAATTCTAGTTCGAATATGATTGAAGCATTTTTAAATTGCTAGAGATTATTACTAAAGAATTTAAAATTTAATTTTTTCTTTTTTCAAATAAGAGATTATTGGTGGAAATTTATCTCTAAATAAATGAAATAATAAATTTGGAAATAAATTAGAAGAGAAATCTGATTCCAAAAAAATTCCCCAATTCCTTCTTATATGTAGGCAAGATCTTACCGATTATCTGTTAATCTAAGTGAAAGTATATCGATTCCCTTCAAATAAGATCTCGAATTCGAGTCATATAAATAAAGAAACAAATGTTATAAAAGCTTCCCTCATAATAAGGTCAACATAATTCGATTTTGAATTAATTAAAATTTAATATAATTATCACATACCGAGAAATTAATACAAAAAAATATAGGCAAGATCTTCCTTCTTATAAATAGTCAAGAGATTCCATTAAAAGAGAATTTAAAAAATCAAAGGATTAAATTTTCAAAACCGTACTCCACACTCCACTTCTACAAGATGTCTATTCCCTGGAAAATCAAATCCCATCTGAGACATCCATTTCGTGTGCAGCGTTCAACATCTCAAAAAACCATGTTTAGGATTGGAATCCTCCTGGTTATGAGCACCATGTTAGTCTTAGGAGTTTTTCCTGGCTTTGTTTAAATCTTGATGGTTTCTAAATACACTCAGCTTTGTAGTTTGTTCTACATGAAAGTCCAGAATCAATTCAATACAGCTCTGGTTTTGGTAAATTTTCAATTATCCAATGTCATACCTCTAAATTAAAGCAAGATAAAAAGTACAGAAGACATTTTGAAAGACAATAAGCACAAAGTAAAAAATTGGCTGCATTAGCAACAATACATGAGGAATATAATTGCAGACAAGCTTGTATACTGCAAGAATATCATTTAAATATATGTAATTACCCTGTAGGTTAATTCCATCATGCCACAATTTCTTTTGTAACAAACAGAAGTAAATAAACAAAACTGCAATAAAGCTCCAAAGCATTCCAAGTAGGTGGGTGCATTCTTGCTCCTGGGGCTCTCTATAGCTGAGAAACTTACAACGGCTGGGCTCCTTAATAAAAATGCAATGGCTATCTATTTCCTGCACATGCAGGTATCAATTTGTCAATGATCAATCATGCAAAGTAGTCAACCTGACAAAGTATGAAAAGAGTTGGACAAATTTGTTATTAACACAGTAATCTTAATTTTTGTGACTGCTTAATCCTCCTCATAGGATTGCAAGAAAACTAAGCTAATCTTACTCTTTGCACTGAAACTAATGTTCAAACTAATGTTACATTGAATGAATCTCGGTCAAAGAGAAGGAAAAGCTAAAGTTCATGACTGACCTTCCACTCTTGGCTGTTGGTACAATAAGACCTCTCTTCTCTAAGCTTTTAAACCTATCTCTTGCAAGTGTACAGCAACCCTTCATGTAACACAAAAGAGGAAAAAGAAACAAAAGAGAAGAGTTACTTTACGGTATAATAAGTTAATATTAGAATTGAATGAGATGCTAAAATAAATGTACCTTAAGCTTCCGGAGGGATCCGGTGATTTCTTCAGATAACAACACCTGAGGAGGAGCAGGCTTAAATCTGAAAATAGAAAAATCAATTAGATCATCCCATAATCACAAACCGAGTTTTGTGTGTCCATGCATCAAGTGAAGCAGAATATTCAGACAGAGATACAAAAAGGGCAAAACAAAATGACAGCAATCAAAATTAAGAGTGCAACAGGCAATCTATAAACAAATAAGAATGTCCATACTTGTACTTTCCCAGGCGCGGAGGGCAGATCTTTAGTCTTTCCTGCTTTGCTGTTATGCGTCGAAGATGCCTATTTTGCTTCTCCTCATCCTCTTTGGCTATTTCTTGTAAGATATCTGGAATGCTACATTAAGAAGAGCCAAGAAATTATAAGAATGTTATCTTTACCAAAATAAATGTCATAGAAAAATTACCAATTTACCTATCAATTTCTTTGGAAAGTTCCTCTGTCCTTTTCATTTCTACCTCTTTTTTTTGTTGTTCTTTTCGTCGAGCTCTCTTATTCAACTCAACTCGGGTCACCCTTTTTGTTTTGGAAGGCCTGCAGATTGTAGTAGAGCAAAATTAAAATGCAACATCGTGTGTTGATGGGAATGAAAACAAAATACATTTTCAATAATAATGTTCATGTGGCAAATATGCTCAAGAGAACTTCAGTTGAAAGGTTAAAATAAAGCTAAGTCAAAAGACCGACCATATAGAACAGTAATCGACAAGAAACATTTTTATCCATCATTAAGGGATTTGAGAAAAGCTGGCTTTGAATCTAAGGCATCTGGCACTCAAGTTAAACCAAAGCCTAGTCATGATTTACTGAATATTTATACAAGGCAATGTATATGCATACCAAGACAAATTAAATAACAAGAAGAGGAAAAGAGAGAAAATAATTAAATACCATTACCAATGAGGACCATCAAAACAAAATAAAACTTACTTTTTCTCCATTGCTACACCCTCATTGTCACTTAAATCCTCCTCATTAGTTTCGTCCTCATTTCCTTCATCTGCTTCAATGAAGTATTTCTAGCAAAATAACAACTCTTGTCAAATTTCAATCATGGAAGTTTAGTTTTAAAGCAACAATTATGAGGGATCAATAAGGTGTGTAAAAAGACCACGGAGAATTGGAACAACAGAAACTCACATCTTCTTCATCAATTACTTCTCCAGTAACAGTTAGTGGAACAGGCTGAGGCCCCAACTCATTCTGATATTGTTTCTTCATTTCTTCTGCAACAGCTTGAGCCAAGGAATCCTGGATTGAAATGAAAGAAAACAATATAAAAACGATACATTCTTTAAAGAATAAAATCATAAATTAAAAGTGGCAGCATAGCAAGTACATATCTCAAGATGTACCTGATGGCTTTCAAAGGTGGGATTGAATGAGCATCCAGGAGGCTCAACTTCTACTGCTGGGATAACCGAAGCTTTCGTTACCTGTTAGTCACTTATTCATCAAGCAATAACCAACTAAAACCTAATGTCATAGAATCTATAATTCATTAAGCAAAGGGATTTACCTTTCTAGCTTTTACATCACATTCACCTGAAAAGGGATGAAGAAAACACATTCAAAATGCAACCTTTAAAACATCAATCTAGTGAAAAATACAAAAACTTCAAACTCGACGAGATAAAAACCTTTGTTTTCCCATATGTTATAAAAGCCAGAATCCGGGGCAGAATCACCCTGAAAGAACAGATTGTATACAGATATAATATAAGCCCCTAGCGAGTATTGAAATACAGAACTTAAGCATTGCCCTATCCAATCCATCACTTGTTCACCTTGGCAACAGCACCTTGAGCTGCTTCATCTTTTGCTGCCACAGCCACTTCTTTCTTATCTTTCTTAGATTTCTTCTGCTTTGAGGATGGCACTGCCTGAACAAAAGGGTTCCTCTGGAGCACACTTTCGCACCGAAGCACTTTCTCCCTACGTTTCTCAATCTTCCGTTTAACAGAAAGATCTGAGCATCATAAAAGCACATAGTTTTCGTTTATGCAACAAAATCTGAAACGAATTTAGGGAAACAAACGGGAAAGGGTTTTGACCTTGGGATTTGTCGACGGTGAAGAGGGATTCGGCGGGGAGAGAAGCGAGGGAACCGCCGGAGAGAGCATCCTTGGTGGATTTCTGGAAGTAGTCGTCGATGTCTTAAGTGCTTATGTTAGCTCTCCAAGCTTTCTTTCCCTTTCTTGAGCTCTTCGGTTTCTTCCCCATCTTTTTGTCTCAGCTTCTATGGATGCTTCGGCGGCGGCTGAGGAGGTTATGCAGCGGCAATGCGCAACAGAATTTTGGGACGGAAAACCACAAAAACGAATTAAAGGGAGAGTGGATTGGGTGATTGGGCTTTTCGAATTTTGGGTCAGATTTTAACTTAATGGAAGCTAGGGTTTATATTGGGTCTTGAGTTTCTAATAACAGTGGGCCTAAAATTGGGTTTGGAATTTTTAGTTTTTTTTTTTTTTTTTATTAACCTTTAATATTCAGTAATCACGTTAAATTTTAACTAATTTAGCGTCGAACTGTATCGTACCCCATAAGGGGGAAGTTTTTCCAATACCTATTTTTCTATTTACAAAACTCGAATTCAAGATTTTGTTTAGAGAAACCAAGTACTTTTCACTCAAATCAACATATATGTTGGTAGAAGTTTTAGTTTTTAGATTTGAATCATGAGGACCTTTTTATAAATTGAGCTTCAATGAAGACTTTTGGAGCTATGGTTGGGTCTAGATTGAAAAAATTCAAAGTAAAAAATTTTGAAAATAAACTTTGATTTTAGAAAGTTCAATTTCTAAGTCTTCTAATGGATGTCTCACTCAATATTAAAACTTGAGTTTGAATAACTTAATGTTAAAAGTTTATTATTTAAATCTTAAAATACATAGAAAAAGTGTAAAGAATAAAAGATTATTTTTTGTCTATTAATTTTTTTATATTATTGAAAGTTACATGTTTGTCTATTCTTAACGTTTAAATATGATCTTAATTCCAAATCAAAATTTTTTAAATAACAAATACCATATCAAACAAATTTTTACTAGTATAAAATTATATATTGATTTCTTAAGTGAAAAATTAATAAGTTGACCTCCATATCAACAAGAGCTTGTCTGACTAGATGGAAAACATTTTTCTGAAAAACGAACCCAAGTAGTTGAACAAAAGATCAAAGATGAATTCTTGAAAAAGTTTACAAAAAATTAATTCCTTGCGATTTACTACTACTGCCTAATCTGACAAAAACCATCTACCTTTAACTAGGCTAGATGGGAAAGAAATACAAAAACCGGAAGCATATATCCCTCTGATAAAATCTCTTTCTTTTCCATAGCACATAAGGTCATTCCTCCTTGGAATTACCAAAGTGGGATTACTTTTGAATGTGCCTTTGATAGGCATTCACACACTCTTTCTTTTACTTCCACCCTCTCTTTTGCTTTAGAATTAAGTAAAGGTACTTTATTTTGATGGGTCTAATCCATCTTAGTTTTATATTTCATTTGTCTATAATTTGGTTTTAAATGATCAAGGACAATCTTAGTCTCACATGAACTATGGTTAATCATGTACACATTAAGTTCTAGTTGATTCTAGAAATGTCGGCCAGAAATAAGATAAGCATGGATTTTTCTAGGGAAAACTTGTCTGCGAACGATGTGTTGTGTATCAGAATTCATACCACCAAGCATAAAGAAACCGTCCTATTCTTGTGGTGTTCAGTGTCATCATTAAGTCAATACCCATCTTTGCCATTGAGAAGACCTATCTTTACCACCAAAGATTTGAACTCTCTTATGAAAAAATATTGTTTATTTTCACATTCAGATAGCATTAAATTTAGGATATTTCTTTGAACTTATCGCCCTTATGTACTGGACCAATACTCATTGATTTTATTAATTTGATTAGATTGAAATTTGGTTTAAAGTTAGCATACGTTAGGTTAGACGGATTTTTCAAAGTTTGACAAATGACATTTATTTTCTTTAACAATTTCAGGTGAGAGTATTTGATTAATGAATTGGGGTAGTAACTAGTAATCATATTATTTATTCTACCTACTAACAACTAACCATATCAACATACCAAAATCAATGAAAGTACTTTATCTTCTTATAAAATAAACAAATGAATAAAACAGTCACATTTAACAATATCATATCTACTCAAAGAAAAAAAGATAGATTAAAAACTCTTACCAATTGATCATGTAACTTGATGATAATCTCTTTGTTCTTAGAAGTAGAGGTCATTGGCTCCAATTATGATGGTACCCGTGAGGGACTACAAATGAAAATAGAGAAATTATTTATAAAAAATATATAATTATGATAATTTTAAATTGTGTTTTAAAGACACAAATTAAACAGACTTGTTAAAAAAATTAAGCATTAGCTTTTATTTTGGGAGAACAAAGTAACAAAACGTAAGCAATTTGACATCCCATGTCATGAATTTAAGAATATAGTTTTCCCAATTCAAAGGGGCATAGGATAGGAGGTGGAGATATTAAGAAAGGGTGATGGGAAAAGTGGGACCTTTTGTGATTTTAATTTTAGGCATCATGCTTTTCTCCTCATGAGGGCGGAGAAGTCAGAAGAGGAGCGTCTGATTAAATGGACCGACGGCCCATGGTAGGGCCCACCGGCAGCCCATTTTTGCCGACCAATACCTTTGTTTTTGTCTAAAGTGGAACCGCCCAACCCAACCCATTGTGGAGGATAACAAAATTTAAAATCATATTTTTATATTAAAAAAACCTAAAATCCAAATTAAATAATTATTATAACAAAAACGACAAAAACACAAACCAATGAGGCATTGTTCCGATCGTTAAGAACAACGCTAAGGTCTTCAAATTCCTACACCACAAATATATCTTCTTCTTTTTTTCATGAACAAAGAAAAAAAACGTACTCCGATTAATTTACATTTTAAGAAACTAGAAAGGAAAATTTTTTTTTTTTTTTTATCAGTGGGAAATTGGGGGATAGGGGAGTAGGTATAATATTGCTGCAGTAGTAGCAGTTAGAACCCTTGGTATAGACGCCAATGGGATGATGCACTTCCAACGCAGCCGAAGCCGCAAGTGCAACTAGAAAGGAAATTTAAATGTAGAATGTAGCCAAAAATAAGTAGTTTAAATGTCAATCATTCATCTTTATCTATAGAGAAGATAATGCTAGGTTAGGTATCTAGAGGAATGCAAGGTGTTTTTTGTCATTCCAAAAAAAAAGTTTTTTTTTTTATTTGTCAAAAGGGCAAAAAAAAAAAAAAAGGGAAATGTTTTTGTGTTTCGATTATTTCTAAATCGAAATTATATATACAATTTGTGCTAAAAAAACCAATATATATGTATATATATATATATATATATATATATATATAAAGGAAACAAAAGGTTTACCAAAAAATTAGATAAAGGAAATCGGAAAGAAAGCAACGCCATATGTCACACGCACATTTAATTCAGAAAATGCACAAAAACGGAAGGGACCTAGAAAGAGCATACACATACCTCTTAGTGCATGTCGGCATCAAATTCCTATCTCAGCCTTATTCAAATTTGAAGTAGAAGAAAAAGTCACCCCACTTAACCAAACCAGGGGGAACTTCATATTGTTTGGTTCCAAACAATTTCCTTTCCTTCATCCCTGAAGGAAGCCACAAGAAAAACGGATCATCTGTGTATCCCTTATCCATGATTCTGGTTTCCTTTTGAAGATGGTCCAAAGGAAGGTTCCCAATAAAAAGCTTGGCGTCCAAGCTGATGATGTTAAATCCGAGAAGCAGAGGCGGTTTGGAAACCTGACAAAATCCTCATCTTCTTATCACTTGGATGGGAGAAGCAGAGGACCTGAATTGAAGAAGAGAATGAAGAAGTCTAGATCAATTAAGCTCTCAGATATTGAGGGTTTAAGATCTTCACCTGTGAAGAAAACCATGGCACAGCCGGGAAAGTTTCCTCCTCTCCATGTTGGAACCCCACAGAAGCAGCTTTTGATCAAAACAGTTGATGGGTCACCAAACTACATGAAGTCCACCAGCAGTTCAGAGGCAAAGAAGGAGAGTTCTCAGGTAAGTTCCTGGAATTCAGATAGCAAGAATCTGCGTCGAAAAATTTTGAATGCTTCAAAGCTGGGCTCTGTTTCTAGTAGTAAATCTGCTAGGACTCTGGCAAAGACATCTAGCTTCAAGCTGGTGAGGTCTTTAACGAAGACTACCAGTTTTAAGCCGGCAAGACCTTCAGCCAAAAAATGTTCTAGAGTTGCTCTGTGTGCAGATATGGATGCACAGAGAGCTACCTGTTCTTCAACTCTCAAGGACTCAAAGTTTCCCCCTTATCTCATGCTTAATCCTGGGGGAACAGAGTCTGAGGGAACCTCAGTTATGAAGGTCTGTCCGTACACCTACTGCTCGCTTAATGGTCATCAACATGCTCCTGTGCCACCATTGAAGTGCTTCTTATCTGCAAGAAGACGTTCATTGAAGACCCAGAGAAGTATGAAGCTGGAATTGCTGAGTCCGCGTAAAGCGAAGGCTTTTGCTAATGGAACAGAAGAAATAGGCATAGAGCAGGTGCTCTGTGATGAACAACCTGCTTTATCTCCATTGGGACAGGGAGGCATGGAATTTTTCATTGAAATATATGCCAAGAACAAGGGATATCATGCTGAAGCAAACGACGGAACCGCAGACAAGGATTTGGAGGGTACCACAGAATCTGAACAGCACAATTTTTCTTCCGGAGGCAGCAATGGAGGAGCAATAGGAGAAGATGATGATAAACAAATTTCAGAGAGTCTATCTGAGGGATCACCGCACTCTGAAATTGATTTTGATGACAATCTTGAGGAATGCAGTGAAATTATTTCAACAGAAATGAAGAATGATGCAGAAGAAGATTCACTACTAATTTATTCAACTCCAGGGAACTTTTGCAATGGTCATGATTCTGAAGGGGAATGTAATTCAAGCATTGAAACAGAAGACATCATTGGTGTTGGTATGGAGTGGGAGGGAGAAGCCTATTCTGTTTCAGAGTCTGAAAATGAAGCCCATTTTTTGATGGAGACTGATGATGAATCTCATTTCAGCATCAAGGGTTTATCAGGACCTGAGATTAGCTTGGATGGCATTGTAAACAACTCCAGTCAGAACATTCTGAGTGATGGAGTAGAGCAAGAAGTCTTTGGAGATGATAGTGCACAAACCGACAATTTCAGTCAAATTTCTTGCACCTTGGATCATGATCAAGTTTCCTCCACAGAAGATGTTTTTGATGTACCAGCAATGGAGAAAGAAGAAGCTGAAGCAGATCTGATAGGCATTATGACCATTCCAGCTTTGACAAAGGAGCAGCTACTTGAGGAGAATAAAGTTATGGAAACAGAGAATCAGTTACCCAGAGAGGCTAAAAGCAACTGTGCCACTGAATATATTGATGGAGCCTTGAAAGAAACTAACAACATTTGGCTTCATTTACTTGATGAGACAGAGCAAGATGAAATGAATGAAGATTATCATGGAACTCAGACATTGGAGAATTCGGAAGCAGATCAGATCGAGGCCACAATCAGTAATCTCAGTCCAGAGCAGGAACTTCCCTGTGTAAAGGATGGAGCTGGAATGGAAGAGGAGGTAGCTGAAGCTGAGCTGTTGGCCGGAAACCAAATTTCTAACTCATCCCAAGGTTTCTCAGGGGTTGATGAAGTTGATCATAAGGTAGATGACAACCAAAACAACCTGACGATTGAAGCTTGCCCAGTTGATAACAATCTTGAAGAGGGTTATTCAACTCAAGATACTGTTGATGAAAGCCTTTCTGCCAACAGTCAAGATCATCTGTCAGATTGCCAAGGCCAATTTGAGAGCACAAATGTTGTTGAGAATACAGGGTTCTTGGAGGAAGGCCAAGACAGAACTAGAAAGTATAAAATCCCAAGTTCCATGGAGTCTGACGAGCAGAAGAATTCAAGGATGCATAAAAACCGTTTAGCTGAGGAAAATATAGAATCTGAGAAGATGGAAGTTGAAGGAAATGATGGATTGGATGTAGCAGAAATATTTGGCACAGCGAGTGATATCAGCAACCAAAAATCGGAAAGCACCTTCTCCCTCGCAGGAAGCCAAATGAATCAAGAACTGCCTGGGTCCTGTAACAGCAGAAAATGGACAATCAGATGCAAGAGGCTGAATGATAATTCACATGAGGAAAGGAAATTCAACCCACGTGAACCAAATTTCTTGCCTCTTGTTCCAGAACCAGATGCAGAAAAGGTTGATCTGAGGCATCAAATGATGGATGAAAGGAAAAATTCAGAGGAGTGGATGTTAGATTATGCACTTCGACAGGCTGTAACTAAACTTGCTCCAGCTAGAAAGAGGAAGGTTGCATTACTTGTTGAAGCTTTTGAAAAAGTTATGCCAGCACCTTTTTCTCATGGAAGACCCATTCAAGCTTGTAGCTGATGCAGGTTGTTGAGGTAACTGAAATAACATCACTATTTTCTGTTCATTCATTCCTTTTCGGCTACTGAATTATTCAATTAAATTGGTTACTAGATGTATTATTGAATCGGAAAATAGAAATCCAAAGGACAAATTACAAGAAAAACTACACACTTCTTATAATTATGCAGATATCAGGAAAGGAAGCAACTTAGGTGAATAATATCTACAATGTCAGTCAAGCAGAAGGTATCATGGTAGCAGGCCAATAGAGTGGCTAACTGGGTTGTTAACAAGGGTTGAGAAGAACTGTAGACAAAGCAGCTTGAAGTGGCTGAATGGACCTAAATCATAAGGTCTACTGCTTTCTCCTAGATTATGCATCTGAATTACAAAACATGTCTAGTCCAACCTATGATATTATGAAGAGTACAATTATGTTGTTAAGTTGCTTTACTTCATCTGTTTCATATTTATCACTTGGCAGTATAGGGGAAACTTTTACCTCCATATATATTATGCACTGTTGCAGTTGAATTTATATTTAGCTAATGTCCAGCATCAATGGTTTACCAAAAACCAAAAAAAGGGAAAAACAGGGTCATCCTTTTTTGTACATAATACATCTATGATGACAGTTGACAGGCTACACAACAAATTTAGCCTTTCCATTTCCTGTCCTTCCTCACCTGAAGGTTCAAACCCAAGAGCTCCAACTTGAAGTATCGAGCTTTATCAGTTTAGACACTCCCTTGGGGCTCAAAAAACCAAGATCATTAACAAACTAAATACCAATTTGACACTTCAAAAGAAAAAAAAAAATGCTTCTATGTTAAAATATAAAATTCCACATATCTGTTCTGGTATGAGTAATAACTAATTAGGTTCTCTGGTTCTGAATGCTTTCTAACAAATTAACATCTGACTTATGTTATTATTTCTGGACTTCATACTCTTAAATTTAATTCCCTTTTCTAGCAAAACCACCTCATGATTGTTTTATACATATTTCAAACTATAAAATCCAAGTACAAACTCATAACCTATGGCTCAAATGCAACAAAATTGACTAATTTCTGTAGTGCTAATTGTACCTCGACGCCATTGAAGCTCTACAGGTAATCTCCCCATACGACCACCAATCTTAAATTTTCCCTTGAATCCTCTGCGGTGATCCCATCCTCCTTAAGCCTTTGTTTGGATAAAAATTAATAAAGGAAACAATCTTCTAACACACTTACAATTAGCACCACAAGCTTTTTTTTCTTGGCCATTTGATACAAGCTTTTTCCAGTTAACCAATTAGAGTAGAGGATTCCGTTTTCTTTGTAAAAAGAAAATTGGGGCATGGTTTCAACTCAGAATCGAATAAAAAGATATTATGTCTTCGCATAAAGTTGCATTAGTCAAGAGTCAACCCCCAAATTATTATAAGTGCATGAATTATAACAAACATCCAGGCTGCACCCACTAAAAAAAATTTCTGATCTGTTCCCCACAATAATAAGTTGCTTGACATGTGTGGCATGTGAGAACCAACATTTGCACTCTAGATCAAGACTCCTCATTGCTCAAACTCTTCCATTTTGCGTACCTCTCCATTGTGATAAACTGATTTAAAATCAATTTTTAACATTATTAGATTTTTTATTTGGGGTGAAGGACCGAGGAATCCAACATATTTGCTTATAGTTTTTTTATTGTTTTTTTGGTTGGTAGAGTCACTGTTTTCAAACGAATTTGCCCCGGACCCAAATTGAACATTTTTTTTTTTAATAGATGAGAGAGTTAAATACATATTCCTTGTCAATCGAATTACAGGCTCCGTGCACAATTGGTCCACACCTTTTAATCCCAAACTGACTTGCGTGTGAGGTGTGCATAAGATATTTAAGAGGTCTTTCTGGCAGTACGTGCAGTTTAACAAAAAACCAGAATATTGGTAACCCCTTTATGACGCCATAATAATAGAAAGGGGCATGTGGTACGAGCAGTTAATGATTTTAAAGAAAATACAGTGCAACTACATCAATCATCAGTTCATCATATATTATTTAGTCTCTTCTTTCCTTGGAATCCTTACATGTAACTGTATCTGTATGCTGCTCTTCTTCCCCCACACCCCCATTGATCTCTCATGAAAGGAACAACAATGGGTCTTAGGACTGGAAGATGTTGGTCTTTTCCTGTACTGACCTTTCTGATCTTTTTGTTTCTTTGTTTAGCAACTGCAGACAGTTTTAACAGCAGTTTCAGCAAAGTGAAGTACAGAATACAGGAGAAGGTTTGCAATCTGTATGAAGGAAGATGGGTGTACGATGAGTTTTATCCTCCGTACAATTCATCTGCCTGTCCCTTCATACGCAAGGAATTCGACTGCCAGAAGTACGGCCGCCCTGATCACCTCTACCTCAAGTTCAGATGGCAGCCTGCAAACTGTCAATTGCCAGAGTAAGTTATATTTGGATATCTTGGTTATCCCAAGTCAGGGGACAAAAAGAGGCAACCCATGAATTTTTTATATTTATCTACATTGTAGGTTTAATGGGCTAGATTTCTTGGAGAGATTTCGGGGCAAGAAGATAATGTTCATTGGAGATTCAGTGAGTCTCAACCATTGGCAATCTCTGGTATGCTTGCTCCATGCTGCTGCTCCCTTTTCCACAATAATCAGAGAAAATTCCAGCAATATTTCTACTGTCACATTCCAGGTAAGCAAGTGTGGTACTGTAGACAATTTCTTTTTTCTTTGACACTTGATAAATATCTGCATGACATTCTAATCGGATATGAAAAGCTTTTCAGGACTACATGGTTTCAGTGATCCTTTTCCATTCCCTGTACCTGGTAGACATCCAGGAAGAGGAAATTGGTCGAGTTTTGAAGCTGGATTCAATTAGCAATGGTGATGTATGGAGGAACAATGATGTTCTGGTTTTTAACACTTGGCTTTGGTGGTACCGCAGAGGACCTCGGCAACAGTATGACCCCTCCTACAAACCTGAAAACACAATCCGATTTAACAACAGAGGATTAAATTGAAAACATGTGTTACTTTTTGGGGTGCAGGTGGGATTATATCCAAGTTGATGGTAAGATTGTAAAGGACATGGATCGCATGGTTGCATTTCAGAAAGCCTTGACGACATGGGCCAATTGGGTTGATTCAGATGTGGATCCCACAACGACGAAGGTTTTCTTCCAAGGGATTTCTCCATCCCATTACAAGTAAGTTATCAGAAACTTTGAACTCATTTTTCAATTTGGTCACGCAACTTTTAATTTCATCAAACAAGTTTACCGAAATAGGGGAAACCGGTCTATAGTGATAATTTTATCTATTCATTTTTTAGTGGAACGGACTGGGGTGAGCCTGGGGTGATGAACTGCGCGAATGAAACACTGCCACTGAATGGATCAATTTATCCGGCGGGTTTGCCTCCGGCAGTATATGTAGTGAAAGAAGTTATAAGTAATATGAGTAAACCAGTCCATCTGCTGGACATAACAACTCTTTCGCAGCTAAGGAAAGATGCACATCCTAGTAGTTACAATGGCTTCAAGGGCATGGACTGCACCCACTGGTGTATACCAGGACTCCCTGACACATGGAATCAACTTCTCTATGCAGCTCTTATTGCTTAGAAGATGGAAGTAATATTTAATTCATAGATAATGTCTAGAAAGTAGAAATTAACCATATTCATTCTTTTAAATTAAATCAATGGCATGTATTTGTTTGATTTTTAGGCTGATAAATGTCACTGGACCACATTGAAATGCAATAGGTAATAATTGTATAAGATAGACATTTATGAATTTCCTATCCTAATTCAAATTTTCATTAAGTGTATTTTAATCCTTTTTGACCATGACCTTTTTTTTCTTTGAATAATTAGAGAGTTTTTACTTTTAAGTTTTGAATTTTATATTATTTTTAATATGTCAGATGATAAATTATACAATAAAAAAAATCTTTCCCTTCCCTTAATTTCTCTTCACTCGTTTTAAAGTTTAAACTTGGTGCCACTACCTTGAAACCTCAAGTTTTTGAGCCACTCACGATCCCTCTTGGGTGAATATCATAATTATGTCGAGTGAATGAAGCATCATGAGTCATGAAAATGGAGTAGTGGTTCTAGATTCTGTCATCTCTAGTTTATAGTGGAAGCATAATCATTTTTTCTTGAATAAACAGAAAACCTTTTAATCTTGGAAAGCACTTTAAAGTTAGAAGGGAAGAGAAAGGGTGGATTCTGCAAGCGAAGGACTCAAAATCCTTATAAAAGGATTTGAGATGAACTTAATTACTATAGTAACAACTCACAAAGCATTCTCATGGCTACTTGCGTTTCCGTATTCATTCTCTTCTTCTTCTTCTTCTCAACCTTCTATTCTACCATTGATGCTATTTTCAGTGAGGAGCTTGCTCAAGGCATAGCAATAAAACGCATAGAGAAAACAACTCACCTGCACTTCTACTTCCACGACATTGTAAGTGGGAAAAACCCAAGTGCTGTTAAAATTGCTGGACCCCCGAACAGCACTGCTTATTCCTTTGGAGCCACTGCAATGTTCGATGATGCATTGACTGAAGGGCCTGAAAGCACTTCCAAGCTGGTTGGAAAAGCGCAAGGGATGTATGGTATTGCCGCCCAACAAGAACTGTCTCTGCTGATGGTTATTAACTTTGCATTTACTGAAGGTGCTTATAATGGTAGCAGCATCAGTATTGTTGGGAGGAATCCTGTTCTCAATGATATGAGGGAAATGCCGGTTGTTGGAGGAAGTGGGGTGTTTAGATCTGCTCGGGGCTATGCATTGGCACATACAGTTCGGTTTGATATGAAGACAGGAGATGCCACAGTCGAGTACAATGTTTATGTATCACATTATTGACTCCATGCATGTGTTATGTTCACTGTCTTTTCTTTTTCATGCTCTGTTCTTACATCCTGTGAAACATGCCTTAGCTTGAAAGAAACGTATTAGCTATCTTTCGCTTGAAAGCAAAGTATTAGCTATCTTCTGCTGCTCAGGAACAATGCATGCAACCAAAATACAACTGAGCACATTACTTTATTGTTTTGCATAATTTTTCATTTGTTCTTTTTCATAAGTTATTCTCAGACAGACATAAAAAACAGTGGAGGGTGAAAGAGAGGTCAACTCTTACTTCCAAATTGCTTTTGGATGTCTTGGAAGGATATAGTGGCGGATCCCCTTCTTTTAGCCTTCTGCTGAGAAGGATGTTCTCTCCACCCAGTCATATAAATCACCTACAAAAGAAAGGCAGCTTTTTAGAGCAAATTCTGATGGATGTACCTGAGTGATTCAGCATAAACTATCCCAAAAATGAGATGTCTTATTCATTGCTAGTTACCACCAGGACATAATAAAACTGTATTCTGTTTGGGAACCACAATGCTACACTATAGTTAAATATCCGCCATTTAGCATCCTAAACAGCCAATAACCTCCAATGACCAGTAAATGTACACATCCTAATCACAAAATCCATTAATAAGCTCAAAGTGTTTCTTGTTTATCATGATTTCCACATCTTACAGTTGAATCACTAACTGGCCTCGACTTTAGAAGGTAGATGAAGCAAGGAATAAAGAAGAGGATAAATCTTTTAAAATCTATAGATGATTGATCAATAATCATATCATTTGTATGTCCAGTGGATTCAATAGTTGCAATCAAATCAATTACGATTTTCCCAATTCATACCACAGAAAATTTCAGTCACATTTAGGGCTGAAGGCCTTAATTAACACGTGAAGTCATCTGTTAGTTTGCAGGTAACAATCCTGTATAGTATTTGCACTTTCTAGATCCCTAGACATGCTTTCTTCTAGCTAGATTTTGTTTGTAAATTTCTTTAATTCATAGGATATCAGAAAGAAAATTGGATCACCTGGAAGGTTGCAGGGATGGTGCCATCTTCAGCTGCAAACATGGAATCATAGATAGCTGCAGTTGCCAGGGCTGTTTCTCTACTTAGTATCTGTTTTCAAGTTGAACAAATTAAACTTTTCCAATAGGATCTATAGAAAAATCTTTAATTTTTTTGTTTAAAGACAAATAATGTCTATCCATTTGTAAAATTATCACCATCAAAAGAATGACTTACTTTGTTTCTTTGCAAAAGAGCATTTGTTTCACCCATTGCACGAAGATGTTCTATTAGATCCAGGGCTACAGAGGGAAGAGAGATTACTCAAATACTGAAAATATATAATTTTTTTTAAAAAAGCAAGAGTTTCTCTAGAAAAGAAACAAGCAAAAATTCTTACCACTTTTATATTTAACCACATATTCATCAACATCAACACCAGGAAGAGTGAAACCTGCCCTGATCAAAAGATTGCCTGCATCCCTAACCTGAAGGAAACAAGGTAAATATTGCTTTGCATCAAGGTTTCCAAAGAAGGGAATCAGAACAGAAAATTAAGGGAAAAGAAGGTGAAAAATAAGAGGGAAGACATCAAGATGCATACCTGTGCCAAAGGTGATACTCGTGGACTGATGCCTCCTTCACGCTCCATTTGAGCAACAGTACATGCTATCCTTAGCTCCCTACTCATAAGCATATGTAGTACAAGCAAGTTAGCCCCAAATACAACTCATGAATATGTGTATCAATTAGGTTGCAACTAAAACAGGAAAAGAAATGGGAGAAGACAACTTTAAGCTTTCTCCTCCAAGAATAGCTGCTAAGAATAGGCCATCCGGCTTCAGTGCCAGTTTACACTGTCATAAACACAATGAACACCAGTTATTTTCATATAATATTAGCACCTAAATAATGAAAATTAATTTAGAAAACACAAAAAAAGCAATGAAACATTTAAAACAAAGGTGGTCAGAAGGAGGGAGCTTATCAAAATTATAGAATTGAGATAGAACAGCAATGACAAAAGATGAGGCTTAAGAAGAAGTACAAATACCATACAAAAATGTTGCAAAAGATTTGCAAATTTGAGGCTCATTATGCATTAATCATACGAATATTTATATTTTACTAATATATGCCACTATTCATGAATGTTGTTTCTGTGAAAATTGATCATTCTACTAGTTTTGAGTAAAAACACATAAACCATTTTAGAATGTTCAACTCTTCCTCGTCACGAATACATATCAACAATATTAATTTCATCACTACAACCAATGAAGTTTAATGACATTTAATAGTCATTATTCATATTAATTATGCTTATAAAATTCAAATTTCAAACCTTTTCCACAATAAAAGGGAATTGCATTCCTAACTACCTACAACCTAATTGGACCAAGCACATGGGGCAATGCTTTTTCTCTTCTCTGCAATATTTTGTAATAGTTCCCATTGTTTTAATTGTGTATTTTCCATTTAAATCTACATCATTAAGAGTGCCTTACTGCATGCTTCTCAACACTCTGGTAATGCTAAATCAAACTGGGAAAATATATTAAAGCAATATAAATGTGGACAGATTGAAGAATGAATACATCTAAAGATGCACATACCTGTATCATTGCACCTGGAAGATCATTTGTCCAATGGAGCCCCAAGCAACTTATTACCAGATCTACCGAACTTCAAAGTCCATATATGCAGACCATTAAAATTGGAGTTCATTATCAACTTGATGTAAAATAAAATCATCACGCACACCTTTCCTTGATGGGCAGAAACTCTTCATCCCCAACCACAAAGGAAGTCTCAATGTTGTCATTCTCTGCATCCTTATGAGAAGCTCCACACAGCTTTACCATGTCATATGAGGTATCCATCATAATAAACTTTTCAATTCCACCTGATATCAAATGATTTCCTTTCATGTGTCATTTACCCATTAAAATATTATACCCATTAGTAAGACAAGGCAATTAGTCATAGATGACCAGAAGTGCAGGGGTAAAAAGCCATGTACACAACTATAACCTTGGTCTGCTGTCATAAAGGGACTCTTCAAACTATTTTTTCAGGGGAATGATTGCATAGAGTATGGACAGCCCACAAGAGACTCTTTGTCCCTTTTTTCTTAAGTTGTGAATTATACAGGTTCCTGTTATAAAATATATTCTCAGAGCCTTAGCATTGGATTGGATTTTAAGTGTTCTAGGATTGTAGCATGATCACTGTGTGGATCCTAACTTTAACCATATGCTTCACAGATTTGAATGTAGCAGCATGCCTAATTGAGAACCATATTTGAAAAGCAAAATGACCCCTAAGACACCAATGTTCAAACTCATAAATTTGTTAGAACTTATACAATATCATCAAGCTCATAGCTTGACTCATTGAACTGCATGCAGGAACTTGATATCCATTCATTCATTCAGATATGTTAAGCAACCATTACCAAAATGACAGGCGCACTAAATCATAAGCAAAACGTGACTGAGGAGGGAATATTTGTGTTGAGAACTCTCACCACGACCATGCAGCAATCGCCTCACAGCTTCCATGGAACCCCCCAGACATAATGCTGTAGGAAATGACTTCCTACAGTCCTACAAAATGCAAACACTAGATGAGTATCACAAATCAAGAAACTGAAAATTTGAAAAGCTTGCAACGTATATGTGCTTATGAAACAAAGTCATGGAAAAAGGCTCACTACCTCCAACCGATCTAATATATTCTCTGCTACAGCATCCACAAAGGAATCATTTGGTCCCATCAGCCACGCAGCTCGGTCACGCTGCCACCACCAAAAAGCAATTAACAATGGCGAAACTTAGTCACAATATCCAATCACCATTAAGAATTTTCAGTAGAAAACAAATATCTTGAACAGAATATGTATTGAAAAACCAAAATCTGATTGAACAAGATCTAATTAGGAGATGTTTACTTGTTTCCGTTTGAGGTGGCGACCAAAAATCTTAACTTTTGAACTATTACTTTGAAAGCCATCGTCTTCGTTCTCCTCCGTACAGAAGGAACGGGTGGGGAGGATGCGGTACAGTTCCTCTGTTGCCTTTCTTCTCCATTGCAATAAGCTTCTCTGATTGAATAAGGCGGACCTCATATTCAAGGTTGATTTCCCAGAAAGCTAATTAGAGCCAGCTGCTGCGTTCTTTATTTCTCTAGCTCCCGTCCTCCAAACATGCTCCGACCTTCTCTGTTTTGCTGCCGGCCACCGCGCATCCCCTCACTCTCCTCTCCCACTGCAAAATGGGAAACCCGTTTAGCCCTCTACTTTTTCATATTTTCAATTAGGGTCTTCACTTTTTTTTGGGGACAATTTTGGTACTGCAAAATAAAGTTTTCAATTGCCGTCCTTTTTGTTTTTAGGAGTACCTGTAGAAGTCGCAAAACCCAGAAAAACCCTGTCTTTTGGGTTTGGAAGACTTGCCTGTAGACTATAGAGGGTAGGATGAAGTTTACGGTGAAGACATGGAGCAGCAGTGGTGGCGGCGGCAGGGCAAGAATAGGGGTTCTCCAGCTGGGAAACTGCCCTACCCCCATTGAGACCCCTTCCCTCCTCCTTTCAACCCGCAAAGGCCTGCCCTACTTCATCTCTCCTGACCTTCTCTCCTCTCTCCCTTACCCTCATTCTCACCTTCTCCAAGTTTGCCCCCTTCACTTGTAAGTTTTTTTTTTTTCTTTTTCCTTTGTCTCTCTCTCTTGTCCGAAAGGTATACCAGTCTTTTTCCTGAATAGATGTTTGATTCTGCAGCTTGGATGGTCTGTCGACGAAGACAATTTCAAGGGTCGGAGGACTTCACCAGATGCTGAGGTTGCCTGAATATGTACTTGCGGCCGTACCAAGGGATTCTATTCAGTGCCTTCCGGAAGCCGATAGCAGCAACAAGGCTGGAGCGTCTTTTGAGACTCCTTGTGGCCGTTGTTTGGTACTTTGCTTATCTCTGTGGTCGCGGGAAGATTGCTTTTTTAAATTTCTTTCTGAATGTGTATCTGCTTGCAGATTAAACCAGTGGAATACATGGAGATGATATCTTCCATGAAGCCTAACCTATGGGCTACTTTGGCTGATGAAGTTCCTGCATGGGTCTCTGAAAAGAGAAACAGAACCTCAGTGGATAGGACTCTGAAATGGCTCGATGCTTGCATTGCATTAAGCCCGGTAAGATACTCCTGCTTTCTACCTCATTGAAATACTTAAACTTGTTTAGGCTGGGCAGACTCCCATCTTGAAATGAATTTACCCTCTCTAAAATTTAGGCAGAGGGAGCTGTTTTTGGAGCCATTGTTGGAGGTTCAAGTTTAGAAGAACGAAAAAGGTGTGCACAAGAGGTAGCAAAGAGAAATGTTTCAGGTATATGTTCTGATGAAACTCTTCTTTATAATATACTATTGTTAATAGCCAATAATTTACATGTTAATGAACTAATGATCCTTGTGCTTTTTAGTCTTTTTAGTTAATATCCTTCTTTATCGTATGTGTTTAGATGTGACCTTGTCAAGCAGTGACTGCAGACTGAAATTCAGAACAAATCTTTTAGACAATTGATATCCATGCTTGTGATTATGTGTGTTTGTTTTGGTTTAGTAATTTGATTATCGCATCATCACAGCAGGGTTGAATGTGATTAATGCAGGTTATTGGATTGGAGGGTTTGGGCTTGGAGAAAGTAGGGATGAGCGCTCTGCTCTCCTTAGTGCCGCCACTGTAAGTTACTTAAGCACAGTTTTAGCAATAGTGTAAGTGGTGTTAGACAAAGGCGTTGTTACGAGCCACAAGCTTTCTACACTTGGACTTTTGTCTGGAGATCTTAAGTAATGAGGGTTGTTGATTCCTTTTTGTTTAGATAATTAGGATTATTGAGTCCTATGCAATTTTTGCATTAGACAACTTCTATTGTTGGTTGTTACAAGCTGTGAGTCTGCTGGCCATACTTTTTTTTCCCCAGTCCTGCATTTTAACATGTATTTTATTTTTGTTTCTGTCAAACATTCAGGAAAGCTTGCCGCAGGAGAAGCCACGGCTTATATGTGGCCTTGGACTACCAGGTATGAGCACCTCTGTCCTTCAGTTCTTAATTACCTTCTCCCTATTCCAATTTCCACCTCCTCTTTCTTTTCTGTGGTGCCAATTTGCTGCTTGGGAATTAGAATAGTCTTTTCTCAGGTTACTTGCTTGTTTTTTTCACACTAGTTTTAATTTTCATGTGGATAATATTTCATGTTGAATCCTAAGGAAAAACGTTAATCTTATATATTCTGGCACTTCAATTCAATTATACCATACTTGGGAACGTGGGATGGTTATGTTTGCGAACACTTTGATTTTCAAATTTACATATCTTAACAAATGAATATCTTTCTATTCTCACAGAGGAGGTATTGCAGGGTGTTGCTGCTGGTGTTGACCTTTTTGACTCAACGTATGCTGCTTAGTCTCCATGTATAATCTCGTGCGCTGTCCTTATCTTCTTTTAGTCTCTTGAAGTTGTTATTTTGTAACCATTTTGCAGATATATTTACCATCTTACACTTGGCGGCTTTGGACTTACTTTTTCACTGGACTCCATGGAGGATAACATATCCGATTTACAGTTAAGTAGTGCAGACACAGACCACACAAAGATCAATCTGAGAGCAACAGTATACAGGTAACAAACTTACAAGATCTCTTCAAAAGTTACTGCCAATCTTATGAGCATCAGATTAATGATTTTATTGTATTATTACAAGCATGAGTTCTGAAATTTTATTCTTCTACATCCGACCCTTATCATTGGATGTTATCAGGAAAGATACAAGGCCAATCATCGAAGGATGTAGCTGCTACACATGCCAGAATCATAGTAGAGCATACATTAATCATCTCCTCAACGTCCACGAAATGTTGGCTCAGATTCTGCTAGAAATGTACAAGTTTCTCTGCTCTTACTATAAAAGTTATATTATAGTAGAGGTAATGATAACTTAGTTCACTCATTCTATTCTGTTGCAGACATAACACCCACCATTTTCTGGGGTTTTTCAAAGCTATAAGGGAAGCAATAAAGGTGGGAAAGTTTGAAGAATTTGAGCACAAGTTTGTTCAAGCAAGACGTCATCAACTTGCTGCGGCTGCTGTATGAATATCAGTTTCAAACATTTTTAGTGAGTTAAATGTAAAGATTAATGTTATATAACTTTCTTTGAGGGATTATTTTAGTATAGACATATAATTATGCCTGGTGACACTCGACTGCTGCACCAAGGCTTTTGTTTTGATATATGGATTACGCAATGACACCGGGAGGTAATCATTTTTTATCTCTCGAGCAATCACATGATGTGAATTGAACCCAGATCAATGTTCCAAGGCTCAACCTTCCATCCACTTGAACTCATACTTATCTGCTCTTGTTATCAAGGCAGCAACAGGGAACAAATTTGCCCATGGAGCTTTATATAGACCTACAAAATCAACGGGAAACTGGCAAAACGCACCAAAACCCCACCTTAGGCCATTACCCTCCTCCATTAGGACAAGTCCTAGCCTCATTTGGGCCGGGCGTGGTCGGAAAAACAAGACCTTTGTCGCACGAGGCCGAACCTAAATGAAAAGGCCGGATTTATTTTATTTTATTTTATTTTAACATGGATTTATATTTTAGTAGTACTATGAATAATGATTAATTTTGTATATTTTATAAAAACACAAAATTTTATCCAAAAAAGTTTTTAAAAAAATTAAAAATGTATAAAAATAGAGGGAAAAATAATTGCTACAAATGATTTAATAAGTTATATTTTAAAATTTTAATAATAATTTTTTAATAAAAATAAAAAA